TCATCAAGACTCCATAATTACACACAAATCTGTACAACTGAAATGATAGCTATATATAAAGCTATCTCTGTGTGCATTGAGGAAGAGATCTTGAAAGCAGTTATTTTTGTGGATTCAAAAAGCGCTTTATCCAAAATTTCTAGTCTCAAATGGGATCAAGTGGATTATGTAACCATAATGACCAAAAAACTATTGGTAGAAGCTAATAATATGGGATTCTCAATAGGAATAAAATGGGTACCTTGACATCAGGGGATTAAAGATAATGAGGTAGCTAATAGGCTGGCGAATATTAGGAGAGAATTAAGAGTACCTATGATATAAAAAATGTTAGTACCTACAGATTTTTTTTGCATTACAAAAAAAGACATTTTAACACAATTCTACAATGAATGGGATTCCCAAATTAAAGATAAAGATCCAAAACTCCTTGCTATCTCTACAAAATTGGTAAAACAGAAACACCGATATGTGAATGCGGAACCATTTAACAATGATCCATATTTTCTTTGTATGTCCCATAAACAAACACAAAAATATGGATCTGTATTTAGAACTATTAAAAGCAGGAATAGAGAGTCCAAAATCTTTACATAGTATTCTATATAAACCCTTTGACAAAGTTATAAATATATTTAATAAATTCATCAAATTTTTTCAAATCGATCTATAAAAAAAATTTTTTTACTTCATCATCCAGCCGAATTTTCACATCCATTGTTGGATATCAAAATTTTACTTATCAAAATAAAAAAAAAATTAGGAAATACTGGAAACATCCTAACATACAAAAATTTACGTCCTTAAAATCCTTAATCCTAACCGAAGGTAGCATTACCCTTAAACCTAATGTGACCATGTTTGGAAGCTACCCCCAAACGAGAAAAGTCTAATCAAGAAGAAATGAATGAAATGAAGAAGATAAACAACAGGAAAAGGTGATCTTTCAGTATCACCCAGTTGTCAATTAGCAGTAAAGAGAAGTAGAAATTCATCCCTGGTTCTGCATTGCCTAGAGCAAGACGAGCATAACCTTACATGTACTGGGTAAATGATTATATAATCGAAACCCAAAAAAAACGAAGAAGAAGAATATAATATGGTATGTTATACCACGTTTATTCAAAATTTAATAGGCTGATGTCGAACACTGTTCTTGGTAGTTACCAATTGAAGTTTATTTGTAAGTTTGTAGGTTATTATTTTTGCGTTATATGTGTATTATTTATTTTATAACATGTATACAAAACGTTGAAATGGCCGACATGCATTTTGTGTATGGTATGCCAAATGGTAATTTTTGACAAGCTAGACATCCTTATGCTGAAAAATATCTGCAACGAATGACGCGTTATCATTCCGTATTTGCACGTATTCACAATCGCTTATCCGAAACTGAAACGTTAAAAAGAAATTCAAACAACACTAGTCGTTTCTGGACAGTTAGAAATGTTAAGGTATAACAAGCAATTTTAGATGAAATTTATGTACCCGAAAACAAGCACTAGAAAAATTGGCAAACCCTAAATATCAGCCATTCATCTGTTTGGCGAGTTCCTTACCAGATCCAACAGGTTCAAGCTCTTTTACCTAAAGAGTTTCATCAACGAGCTAGATTTTGTGAAGGATTATCACACAAAATTGCAAAATGACAAAATCCTTAATTTTTAAATAATGTATTGTTTACGGACGAGGCGTATTTTTTAATAGTCTTCTTCTAAATGTGCCTATCTTCTAGAAATGTTGGCGACCACATTGACCCATATTATTCTATACAGAGCAGCTCGAAATATGTATATAATTTCATTAAGCGATGCAGGGCATATAAACAACTATAAATTTAACAGATAATCGTTAAAGATGTTCCAAATGAGTCTACTCGTTCCGATAAGTAACAGTATAATTATGACACTTTATTACTTTTTTGTTTTCTTAAATATTCGTGTTTATTGCATAGTAAATAAATTAATGTTATCACTGAATACATAGTAAGTGAAAAAATAACCCGATTTATAAAATTAATGAATATTTTATGCATAAATGCAAGTAACAGTTCTTCAAAAATATTTAAAAACTAACCGAAATGTCCATTTTTGTTTCGTTTGCCGTTGTTGTCGGCAGCTCATACCGGTTCGGACACGATTTAATGTTTACATCTTCCTGCATCGCTTAATGAATTTTACAATAGATCAGTTCACGTTACACCAGTCCACTTCATAAGATTGACCATCTAGGATATACGTCTACGTCCAGGGTCTCTCTTACCCTTAATCTTGACTTGTGGAATGAACTGTAGAAGTTGTTACGCATGATGTGGCCGAAGTAAGCCAATTTTTTGTTCTTTACGGTGTTAATAATTTCTTTGTCTTTTCTTAGTCTCTGGAGAATATTTATGTTACTTGGATAGTGTACATAAGACCCTCAACATATGTCGGTAGCTCCTTCTTCTTGTAGTCCTTTCTCCTATCGGAGGTTGGCTATCGTCACAGCTATCCATATCTTATTGGCGGCTGCTCTACTGAGCTGCATGTATACCACTCTCTTAGGTTTCTCAACCAGGAAACTCTTTGTCTTCCTATGGATCTTTTATCTCTGATTTTACCTTGCATTATGAGCCTTAATATCTCATATTTCGCATCTCTGGTAATGTGGCCTAAATATTCCAGCTTTCTTGTTTTGATGTGCTTTATGACCTCGCAATCCTTTTGTAACACTTCTATGTCGGTAGCACCACATTTCAAATTCCTCTAATCGTTTTATGGCATCTTTTGCAAGGCTCCAGCTTTCTACTCCAAAGAGGAGGGCACCAAAGACGTAACATCTTTTAAGTTTTTATTTCATAGCTATGATCCCAAGTTTCCTTAATATTGCAGCCCAAATACGAGATCTCGGACAGTTCATTTTCTAATCCCGTCTAATTCTATCCTTACCATCAAGTCGTGATGTTTTTAGGATATCGATTAGTTTTCCATGTGGGACTTTATTAAATGCCTTCTCAAAATCAATGAAACATGCATAAACATAACAGTTGACATCCCTGGCTCTCTGTATTAGAACTTGCAAACTAAAAAGTGCTTCCCTCGTTACGAGTCCTTTTCTGAATCCAAATTGAACTTCACTCAGGTGTTCTTCTAATTTGGTGTATATGCGCGAGTGAATAATAGTAAGGAGTACTTTAAGTACATGGCTCATCCAACTAATTAATCTATGTTCTTCACATTTTCTAGCGTTGGCTTTTTTAGAAAGTGTAATAAATATTGATAGTAGCCAGTCTTTTGGTAAGTAACCAGTCTTGTAGATGCTGTTGAATAGCTTTGTAAGAGCTGTGATTTGGTGTGCCTCTAATAGCTTTAAAATTTCATAATGCACCTCATTAGGTCCTAGTGATTTCCCATCTTTAATCCGCTTAATGGACATAGTTACTTCTTCGTTTGTTATTTCTGGGCCGTAGGGATTTTTTATTTCAGTCGGACTTCGTGGTGTATCTTCAAATGATTCTTGCATACATTCTTTCCATCTTCGTAATTTATCTTCAATGGTAGTCAAAATCTAGCCAATGTCTACAACTATGCCTGTATTGCGTTGTGGTCTGGTGTTCTGTACCTCTTTAATTTTTTTGTGCATATGAAAATCGTCACGTTTGCGTTGTAGTGTTTCAATTTCTGTACATGTGCAATATTTTATCTGTCATCCATTCTTGCTTCTTTTCTCTTTTTGATTTTAAAAAATTAAGTTTTTTGATAAAATTATAGTCTAATTAAAATAGACTATAATCTGAGAAGACATCTGCGCCTGGATTTGTTTTTGTTGCGGTGATAAAATTGAGCTTATAGAGCACAATTTTCAAAATGTTTTTTCAGTGAACTTATGGATTGTTATTGTAGGTAATAACTTAATTGAGCCACATTTTTTGCCTGAGTCATTAAATGGAATTTCTTACACCACTTCTCTTCAAAATGATCTTCCTGAACTACTTAAAGACATCGCACTCAATATCAGAAAAAACATGAGGTTCATGCACAATGGTGCTCCGAACTGCTAGGAAACATAGGAAACAGATGCACGTATTCCAACCGTTGTATTGGCCAAGGAGAGCCCTAACATCGGCCTCCTCGATCTCCAGAGTTAAATCCTTGTGATTTCTGTTTTTGAGGTTACCTTAAATCATTAGTCTACACGGCATCCATAGTTGATATCAAAGATTTAAAGAATCGTATTCAAATAGCCTGTGACACCATAAGAAGTACACCTCAAATCTTTGAACGTGTACGGCAATAGATGATACGTAGGCTACGTTCATGTATTTGGCTAGAGGTGGTCATTTTCAGCATCTTTTATGAATCATATTACATTTTACATATCTTTACCGTTTTCCACTTAATTTATTTAAAAAAATTATAAATTATAATGTTTTTTTTTTTCTTTGTAGCCGTTGGTTTTGGAAAATAAATTTAAGAATAAAAAAGTTTTAAATAAAACAAGGATTTTAAGTTAAATTTTTTTCACACAACTTCATCTCGAAAAAAAAGTTTTGATATGAAATCAAGTAAGGGTTGCCAATTTTACCCCTCTATTATGTAACAGGTTTTTTTTTTAAGAATATCGATCAGTTTGTTGGTGATTTTGTCTTTTTTTTTCGTAATCTAAAAAGCAGCTAAAGGTAGCATTATTTACATCCTTTGCTCTTGATTCTGTTAGCTTTTCTAGTTCTACGATCATTTCTAAATCTGAGTTCAACTTTGTTCTGTTATTAGCTGCCTTATTAATTTTTGCCACCGTAATCTTTCCATTTTTTTTACAAGAATTGAGTATGTTAGCTTAATTTATCTCTAACGTGTATATCATATTAAACAAAAATACCTTTTTAACATTAACTTCATTACCATTTATTTGTTGTCATGGTAGCGTTTGTAAATATAAATCCTCTTTTGAATAAACAATGAATATCAAAAAATTAGTCAAACTTTAAACTTATCTATATAACCTTCCACTCTAATCAACAGGCAAGCGCAAACCAAAATAAAACTGAGAGGTACAATAGATATAAACTTTATAATAGGCGGCAGTTCATTTTCAAATTTAGTCTTCATTCGACGTTAAAACCCGTTCCCAACATGGCTTTGAAAAAGGTTGATGTAAAATATACAAAAGTGAGTATATATTTTTTAACAAAATATTAATATTTTTAAAACAATTTGGTATTATTTGAAAGAATTACTCTTAGTTTTTTTCCGAAGTTTTCTGTTTTTTTTTTATTTTCAAAAACCTTTTTCAGGTGAAATTTCTGTACCTGTAGGTCAAGATTAGATTGGCTTAGCACACAGTTTTTACATTTTCACCTTACCATATTTTTTAGGCTACTGAATGATTTTTGTTTCGTAGAGTAAGGTTTCTTCCTTTACTCAGACTATCATCATAGTCATTAACATCTTAACAGATGTGTTGTGGTAGCTCACTGAGCTTTAGCAGCTCGGATCGTTTAATTAATATTATTTCTCTACTGGTTGTGGTCATTTGTTACATGTATTGCCTCAGTCTACTGTATGTTGAGAAGCTTTTTTGTAATTTCTGCTAAACATTTAGATATTCTGCAATATTTCATAAATAATTTTGTTTTCTTGATACTATTTCGTTTTTCTTTCTGTAAGTATATATATATATATATATATATATATATATATATATATAATATATATATATATATATATAGGTATATATATATATATATATGTATATATATATATATATATATATGTATATGTATATATATATATATATATATATATATATATATATATATATATATGTAAATAAAATACTATTTCTTGTCTAAAATTATGCCTGTGTGCCAATTTTAATAGCAATTTATAAATATACAGGGACACTATTAGCAAAAAACAAAAAACAAAAATTAACTTTAACACCCTGTATCTTTTTTCTCAGCAACATTTTATTAAGGCATATTTGGCCCAATAGCCATATTTTGGTCCAAATAACCTGTCTTTAGTCTATGTCCCAATAGTTATGACTCACCCTGTATATATAATCCAATTAAAAATTCACATCCTTTAAACAGTTTTCTTAATGTTTCATTTTTTTTTTTTGGAGATTTTCTTATTGAATAGACTTAAGTATTCTTACAGCGTATTTGTCTTCATTATCAAATGCTATCTTTATTGGAACGCTGCATATTATATTGTTATATAATCACCTGTAGTAATCCTGACACAATTCGTAATAAATCAGAAATGACATAATACAGCTACATACTTTCAATTCAGAAATTTTCAGAATTAATATAAACTGCGAGGCATAAGTTAGGAATATAGCTAAATATTAAATAAACAATAATTCAACTGTATAAATTAACTAAATCACGTATCTACATCAACAATTAACACTATTTTTTTTGATTTTTTTATTCAAAGAAATATATAATTCAATCAAATTAAACTTATAAGTTTATTATTTCTGGGCCGTTGGGATTATTTATTTCAGTCAGACTTCGTGCTGCATCTTCGAATAATTCTTGCGTATATTCTTTCCATCTTCGTATTTTATGTTCAATCGTAGTCAAAATCTGGCCTTTAATGTCTACAACTATGCCTGTATATGTCCTAATAGTTATGACTCACCCTGTATATATAATCCAATTAAAAATTCACATCCCTTAAACAGTTTTCTTAATGTTTCATTTTTTTTTCGGGAGATTTTCTTATTGAATAGACTTAAGTATTCTTACAGCGTATTTGTCTTCATTATCAAATGCTATCTTTATTGGAACGCTGCATATTATATTGTTATATAATCACCTGTAGTAATCCTGACACAATTCGTAATAAATCAGAAATGACATAATACAGCTACATACTTTCAATTCAGAAATTTTCAGAATTAATATAAACTGCGAGGCATAAGTAAGGAATATAGTTAAATATTAAATAAACAATAATTCAACTGTATAAATTAACTAAATCACGTATCTACATCAACAATTAACACTATTTTTTGATTTTTTTTTATTCAAAGAAATAAATAATTCAATCAAATTAAACTTATAAGTTTATTAGTTTATAGTTTATTATCCCATGAAACATAGCCGAAAAGTCACTTGAAAATCGAAACTTTACCTGCGTCATGACATTTCTGCAAAAAGGGGACTTGTTCATTCATTTTATGAGAATATAGAGGAACCCGGATTCATAAGAGTTCCAATATTTTCTAGGTTTCGACAGGCTAAAAAAATCAAATATTTATTTCCTACATGGTTGATAAAGAGAATGATAACTATGAAGTGCATAAGACCCGATTATTGGATACTACTTTTCCTGTCAATCTGGTGCGAAACCTGTGGGTACTTGTGCTCCTATAACCATCGTGTTGTGCTTTTTAGGCTTTGCAAGACATCAACCCAATGTTAAGTATCCTGATAGGTGATCCTTAACACGATTTATGATGCATCTAACCGAAATAGTAGAATCTTAACATACAGATGGTTGAAAATAACTTAAACCCGAATTTTCCACAAACGATTGAAATCTAGCATAGCATGATCTTAACTTGTCGGACTAAGAACGTTCTTGCGTTAACAGGCTATTTGATGAATTTTTTTTTTAACAAAATCTCAACGAAATTCTGTGATAATATGATATTTTGGGTATTGTCGATGCAGCAATTTTTTGAAAACCAAATGGTGCTGTTACCTTGCTGAGTTCAGGTATATATTCTGCCTGTATTGTGCCACTCTAGCAGCACTTGTCGGTGTGGTTTTTCCTCAGTTCCTCAGAACTGCAGCTATGGTGGTATTAAATAAGTAAGCAGCATTTGTGAAAATATGATCGGTCTTATGTCTCCCTAACAGCACATTTTCTATCTCTGTTCTTCAGTTTTTTGAAGGCTTTTCGGCAATTTTCTGAAGACTAAAATACAATTCATCTATTTTTGACCACTGATTCATATTCAGCGTGCAAATATGCATCAAGAAAATTTGTGTCTGTTCTTTTATAAATCAATATTTTCGTTCAATTGACTGTGAATAATGAATCCAATAACTTCAGAAAGCTGTAGCCAGTGACGGATCCAAGGGGGGGTCACGGGGTCATGACCCCTCCTCCTCCAAACAAAAATAAATAAAATCCTAAAAAAATAATTTAAAACCCATCAACCCTATAAGCAGGAAGTTAAGAGTTGAAATGATTCAAGAAAATAGGAGGAATTTTAAGCTAATAATAAAAATTGTTATTAAAAATATATTAAAGTTATAAAAGTATTAGAAGTATTGTAAACAGAGCGATGGTACAGAAAAAAATTATGGCAATTTTAGAGCATTGCTTCGATTTAGGATAGATGCCGATAATGATCTGCGAAAACATTATTTGTAAACTGCTCCGGCTAATGCTACAACAATTAGTAAAACTACTTAAAATGATATCATTTCTTGCTTTAAAGAAGAAATTCAATGTAGCATTGTATCACGCGTTAAAGAAGCCAGATTTTTTGCTATCATATATGATGAAACGACAGATATTTCAAGCATCAGTCAGCTAAGTATGTCTCTGCTATATCTTCATTTAAATGAGATTAGAGAAAATTTTATCACATTTGCTAACGCTTACGATTCGATTCGAGAAGAAAACGTCGGTTCATAAGGAGAACGCCGCTTAACTGGACTTACTTTAGGCCACATTGTTGAAGATTCCGTAATGAATTTTAATTTAAATTTTTGTGTAGGTTTTGGTGTCGACAGTTGCTCAGTAATGATATCCGAAACGAAAAGTGCCGTTAACAATTTTAAAAAATCGGCCAAACATGCTGTGCGTTGTCCATGTAGCAATCATATTTTAAATAATTCCTTGGCAGGCTCCTCAAAAGTTATATCATGTCCTAATGCTTCAGAAACTATGAGAAAAGTAGTAGCTTTTGCTAATGCCTCTCCCAAACGACATGATGTTTTTAAGAAGGAATTGGGGGCTGCTGTCCAAGGTGTTTGTGAAACTCGTTGGGTTGAAAGGCCATCTTCAGTTCCAGGGGAATCAATCATCAAAATATACAACGCTCTTGAAACAATTAGAAGGACAGTAAAACGTCAGCTGATGCATTTTCATTAATGCAAACCATTAGGAGTCCAGAATTTCTCATTTCAGTAGTTTATCTTAGTGATGATTTAGGTACAACTGAATCACTTAGTCGTCTTCTGCAGTCACAAAAATTAGATTTAATAAAGGCTACTGGGGTCATAAAGGACCCTAAATGCATTTTTTAAAATAAAAGATCAAATGCTGAATCTGTTTTTAGCAAACTTTACTATGAAGTAAAGGAAATAGCTAAATTATTAGACATTTAATTGAAGATGCCTCGTATAGTTTCTCGTCAAAACTAAGCTGTTAACTCTTGCGAAGAATATTTCCGAAGATCTATGTATTTACCCGTTTTAGGCAATATTTTAACTGATTTAGAAGATCGACTTTCACCGGACGCAAGTTATGAATCTATTTAATCTTCGAGTTCTTTTACCTAAAACTGATAACACCCCAGAAGATAAAGTTACATTAAAACAAAATAATGGAAAACTTCCTGATTCTATTTTAGAAGTATTAGAAATTTACGATATTCATACCTATCCAAATATCAGAATATTTTTGCAAATATTAATTACACTGCAACTCAGTGCAGCAACAGCAAATCGTAGTTTTTCTACGCTTAAGCGGCTAAAGACTTAACTTGGAAATAGAACTTCGGAGGAAATGTTAACTGGTTTAGCACTCATCAATGTGCATCCTGACATTTCTCTAGCTATTGATGCAATCATAGAGCGATTTGCTAAATCAAATAGGCGAAAAGATTACATTTTATAATATTATATAATATTTACTTATTTTATTCTTATAGTATTTTTAATCACTGAACTTTTATTTACCACTCGTTGTCGGCTGTTGCTGACAATTAATGAGACAAATTTCAATACCGAGTAAAAAATATTTCACCCACTTTTAGCCTAATATGCCCAATTATAGAAATAACTATTCTCAAATTGATATGTTTTTTATTGATTTAAATTAATTTAAATAAAATGTTGTTTACACTTCTTCTTAAGGTTCCTGCTTCATTACAGAAGGGTGGCTATAACTACAGCAAATTGCTCTCTATCTTA